AATAAAATGTGATGACTGTTTGCTACCTTTGGTTCCATGCAATCTACTTACAAGCATGCTTCTCTTGACATATATATGGACAAACATTCTTTGCGTCCCAGGAGCATGCATTAGTTATCTGCTATTAGTTGTTAAAAAAAGAGTTTCACCTTCATGGGTGTGGTTTCTTGGGTCTTCTAAGAAAAATGTTCTATTTACTCACGGTATGGGTGTGCTATTCGAACAGGAAGATTCCTTGACTTTTGCTGTCTCACATAGTTCTTTGTGTTTTTAGTAGAAATTTATTAATGTCTTTTCAGATATATGTTGGAGTCTCCGAGCTTTGAACTATTTTTCAAGTATGTGGAGCTTGCTAACTTCGATGTTGCTTCTGATGCATTTTCCACCTTTAAGGTCAGATCTTTGAGTCATAATTGTTGAAATGTTGGGCAGAAAAGGCAGGTACAACTTGTCTTCAGGCTGTGTTGCATGCTGTCTCTAACATATTATCATACAAAATTGTATCAGGATCTGCTCACCAAACATCCAATTGCAGTATCTGAATTCTTAACTTCTCATTATGATGAGGTTTGCTTCTCACTTGTATAGGTTTATGATGGTTAATGAAGTTGTTTCATTTTAAATACCTTTTGATTTTCTTAAATGAGTGACAACAAACAGAATTCCTAAAAACTTGGCTAGGTAATTGTGAAATATTTTCATAATCACCCTCGCTGCTGCGTTGGAAATATCCCGAATCCTGACGTTTTTGGGATGAAATTACTTTAAACTGTCTTTAGTTTGTACCAAGAATTTCAATATCTTTGTTAATTCTTCTAGATATAATTACTATATTAAAAAGATAAGAGATAAAGAAAATATCAGCAGCTGCTGTCTTTAAAATCATGTTTTATGAGTAGTACTTTGGATGTGGAACTACCCAATGTGCATGCTTTTAAGCCCTTAATAGACTTGTGACCAGATTTTAGGAAGTGCTGGTAGTGTACAACCTTAATTAACATAGATCTTTTGTATATATTGTATGTAGAGATAATAACACTTTTTTTGGAATACTTTTATATTCTCGAAAGTAATTAGAAAACCTAACAGTAAAATTTATCACCAAAGAAAAAAACCCAGCTGCTATGTGGTATGCATGGTGTCCTCCGAATCCCCCACTTGAATATGTTGCCGTTGTGGTTTTACAATCCCCAAGAAAACCTCTAAGCCTTTTTCTCCTTTTTTGTTTTTCAGCCGTCAATACCTCTCACGACACTGCCTCTCCTTTTTATAAGATTTCATTGCCTTCTTTTTTATAAAAAATACTCCACAATTGAGTAAAAAACGATGACGACCCTTTTTTCCTTTTCTTATTGTCCCACTTGCTGCATTGACTTGTACTTTAGACATGTTATGACAATTTTTTTCATCCAACTTCAACTCAAAGGTTGATGGTCTGTTTGTTGGTTGTCCGAATAATCTTGAATCACTTGAATTGACGTTTGAACGAGTGAGATATGCTCGAAAATATGTCACGACATCACAAATCTATCCAGCATCCTTATTTTGTTTCTTTTTTTCATTCCATTCTTTGATTATCGATACTAACTTGAGTGATGTGATGCACATACACTGAGGGACCGTTTATTAAACGCTTACCTGGTAAGTACTTATTGAGCAATTTTCCTCACTGAATGAACATGGCAAGGGACAAGAAGCTTACCCGGTAAGAGAAATGGAATCACTCACTTATCGATACTAACTTCATGTTTCTTATGTTTTTTGGTCAAGAAAAATGGAATCACTCACTTATCCTTCTTTTCTAAGTGATTTATAAGGAAGATGATAACACTCTATTGAGAACTTTGATTAGTTAGACCCTACCCTGTTTAACTATCCTTGTATTTAGTTGTTTAGAATTATGTGCAAGGAATTGTTTCTTACATCCAACATTATTTAAATTGTTTGTGGCATGGTAACATTATGTCTTTGAATAATATTTTTGGATAGATGCATTTTTCTCTATACTTTTTTATCATTTTTCTCTATACTTTTTAAGCATTTTTCTCTAAATCATTAGTGAGAAGATTTATCGTTCAACGAGATTGTATGGTCGCTCATAATCTATTCATTGCACCCATAATTGCATTAACAAGTGGGTTTGTATTTGTACACAATTCATATTAACGATTTGTATTTTATGGATGATTGAAGAAATTACGAGAACTAATGTTTTGGATAGGTGGATATTTGAATCTAACTTACATACAAACGTAAGGAAAAAATTATGAGAACCAATGTTTTGTTTGTGGCTTTATAACATCTTAAGAAAAAAAATTGATATCTCGAATTAAATAAATCTTAATGAATTTTTTGTATCCCGCCGCATCGCGCAGGTACACAACTAGTTATTCATCAAATAAAAACCCTAATCTTGAAGCCCTTAGACATAAACGAATGGTAATGCACATGCCTGAAATTGTAGATGGAGACTGATTAGAGCGATATTGCCGATGACAAACAGAGGAAGGCGAATGAGAGAATGAGGACGACGCACAGGAGATTGATGAACTATAATGAAAGTTCTGCAATCTTGATTGCTTCTGAAATAGGGACGATTGATCTTGAAAGGATGAAGAATGCGATTGAAATAGGGGGAATGGAGGATAAAATCGGAAAAAACGTAGCACCGTATCTCTGAATGCTGTAAGGAGGGAAATCGTTGTTGACCGATTGTTACCTGGTAAGAGGGACGGTCATAGTCTCTTTTTATAATACCTCTTAATTTATCAAGGTAAGAGGCTCTTATCTAATAAATGTCAATAAGAAGCAAGTAAAGAATCCCTAACATATAGCACTTTAGCACATCCATTAATAATGTTATTAAGCAAACAAAAGAAATGGTTAATATATTTACAGTAAAATGGATTGTCTAAAGGATCGGTTTGACCAATTACAATGTGTCCATTTTTTTTCTTCAGGAAACCGGTCTAAAGTGGAACCCATTATGAAAAGACTGGTTCAAGCTAGTGGAGGTTGGACTCGTCGAAGGACCGGCCGGTTTACCCACCTAGCAACATACATTACTGTGAGATCGCAGTTCTCTCAGTCTTTGAATAAATGTAGAAAATATTAGAGTGAGGGAAGATGATCTATTCATTGGGATATGAAGATTTTATCGATAGCTATGAACATTCAAGAACAGGTTGTAGCCATCATCATCATCTTCATATATATATATATATATATATATATATATAGGGGCTGGTTTAAATACTAACCCAATATTTTGTTCAAACTATGCTAACCCATCTTAATCGTTCATTTTCTCATCTAACGGTTATTATTAAATGAGATTAAATAAACAATAATTTAATTAATATATTAATTAATATGTGTATGAACAATTGTTCAAAGGATAAATTGGTCAAAAATTTGTATTAATTAATATGTGTATGAACAATCGTTCATCTTCGTGCCTATATCAAGGTATGAACATTCATGTGAACCCTATGGTGTGAACCCTAGATATATGAACATTAGCTACACCGTGTGAACCCTAGATATATGAACATTAGCTACACCGTGTGAACCTAATGAACACTATAATCGATATATGTTGGTCATATGATCATGTTCTTCAACCTTGATGCATGCTCGTAGTGATACACATGCACGACGATGAGACATGCACATTAACAAAAACAGGGGTTGTGCAGATAAAACCGATACCTGTACTTTATATCTGTTCGTGCATGATGTTCGTTGTAGGTGGTTTCATATGTGAATTAGTTGTCAATAAGATGAACATATTTGAATCTTCATGTCATTATTAGATGAAGATCAATTTGAGATATTGTAGGATTTGTAACTCCCAATTAAAATATTTGGGAGTTACATAAGAATGACTAATGACCTAAATACCCTTATCATTAATATGTAAGTTACATTTTAACCAAACCCAAAGATGCAACATTATTGGTTGATGTGGGTTAGCAAAATTTGCACAAAATATTGGGTTAGTATTTGAACCACCCTCTATATATATATATATATATATATATATATATATATATATATATATATAAAGAAAAGCTTTAATTACAATACATATCTTCAAAAAAAATTACACACAAGTGTGTGTAGTAAGTAACCAAAAGCTTGCATTAAAGGTTACTGATACAATGAAAGAAACAACCATTTATAACCCACTAGTGGACAAAGTCAAGACATTGATGAATCATAGTTTGCCATGTGTAAAGTGAAATAATTGCCTCTAGGTGGCATGTCAAATCTAGAGCCTCCATGTGACAGTTTGTTAGGCAAGAGTTGACCGGACAATAGTTGATGTCATAATCATTCCTCATCAGCTGAAGATCAGAAGGGCTTCCAGAGATGGGCTGTTCCTAGACCAAAGGGACTCTTCATCAGTGGGTGATCATCAGTTTTGGTATCTCTGGTTCTTCATGGGTTATCTCTCGTTTGTCTTCATAGGGTCTCTAATCTTCAGCACTTGACAATTTTACAATATTTTTACAGATAAGAGTTTTGAGGTCTAACAATTATGATTTATATAATTTGGAGAAAGTCTCTAAAAATGATTGCTTATAAAATATAAATGAAATTTTGTTATTCTCATCAATAAGACCGATTAAAGTTAAATGTTTAAGAAAAAAAATAATACTCTAAACATATTAAATATTTTAATAATATAATCAGTATTGCAATCTCTAAAATAAAAAAGCTGTCGGAGAATATGGTTTTTTTTTTTTCATTTTAATTTTTTATTTCCATTTTAAAATATTTTTTGAGAATCTATCAAAAATGCTCTTAAGATGTCGTTAGCTCAATAAACCCATGTAATACAAACCCAATATTTTAATTTAACCTTCTGGTAACCTTTTAATAGATTTCAGGACATTCTTATATCAGAGACATTCTTAAATTTGTCATGCATTAAAAACAGACCGTCAAAAGGTTAATCTCTATAATAACCCGGGCTGCAAGGGTCAAAAACCAGCTAATCGAAAACCCAAGCAAGAGATCTTGAAGCTTGGCGAACCACGAGTCAAGCTCAACCACCAATTCACACACCAAAGTTAACCAAGAAGATGAATAGGTATTAATCAAAGTTACGCTACTTAAATACATCTATACATATATCATGTCCCATAAGAATAATATGTATGCTTCTACAACCCCACCCCACAACTTCGGTCTCTTAACGTACGCCTGCCCGCTTGGGTAACACGATCGGGAACAACCTGCAAAACCAAGTCAAAGTCAACTCTTCCGACAAGTCTGCCTGCACAAGAAACACGCACAAAAGCAGCATACATACGCGGAAAACTATCTGCTCTGAACTATGAGGTTGTTATCGTGTGTTTCCATGGTGGGGCCAGGAGGAGACAATGGTGGCACGGCTGCTTCGTGAAGTTCTGTAGCTTCCAAAGCCTTCCTAACAGTTGCGTGGGATTGATGATCTGTGTTTCTTATGATCTTTCTTGGGGGCTGTGAATGGGTCCCACTGGCCCTCGATGAGTTACTACTCTCGATGGACGCTAAGAATTTGTCCTGGGAGAGAGTTGCAGGGGCTTTAGCGATCACGGAACTAAAAACACCCGACTCCTTCAAACCCTCGATGATAACCTGTATCAAACCACACAATAACAATGATAGAGCATCCACGATAGAGCTTTTTGGCCACCTAATCTTGTGAAATTTTTATCCTACAGCCTTTCATCCATTATCATTTCCCAAAATAAATGTTCATAATGAAGGTACACGGTTTTGGAAATGTGTAACTATTACCCTTTTTAATCAACTAAATGACAATTTTACCCAAGAGAGTAATGAGTTTGTCTTATAGTCAAGAGGAGAATTGGAAAGTAGACACTTACTTTTAAAAATGAACATTTATTCTGAGACAAACTAAAATAGAAATGTGTACAAGTAGTAGAAACTAAAGGAGGGGATGCCCTCTCGAAGAGTGGTGCATCCATTTCTAGATAATGAGTTACGTCTAACATTCTTACCGATGGGGCATATATGCGAGTTAAAATGCCTTTCCTCAACAGCTTCAAGTTTATTGTTTTGTCGGTCCACACCACATGTTCGCGATACCTAGTGATATAAGTCGTAAACATGATTAGATCAAAAAGATGCAATCTTGCTGTAAACTTTACAGTGACATATTTATATGAGGGTGTCCAGAAAACAAAAAAATTGGAAAAGAAATGTAAGAAGAATCAAGATAAATATCGGTTCATATAACTAAAAAGTTTCAGTCATTTATAGCTTACCAGTTCAGCTTTTCTTCTTCCGTTGCGGTTGAAGCAACTATGAATGCCTGAATCAATCAAAGAATAGGTTATTTGATAGTACCTCAAAATCCTACTGAACTAAATGGTAGCATAACATATATATATATATATATATATATATTCATATGAACTTCGATTGGCTATATACAACTTTTAAGAATCAATTAAAAACATTTTGTTTATTGAAGCAACTTCTGACGTGGTTATAGACAATTGTATGGAACAACCAGAAGTAAAACAGAAACAGAAATAAATCAATCAACTCACTGATCTGTCAAATTCTAACATAAAGCATCTTTTGACATCGTCTTTAGTAGGCTTGCAGCCACATCTATCTCTTCGTGAAGTCAAATCGGAGAACTTGGCATACGTGTAGTGTAGAACAGCAGCCTCTTCCAGTTTTATCTCCCTGCAAGTGTATCACATTAAAGTTAATATATTATTGCCTTTTGTGCACACTATTGACTAATTCTCTAAAGATTATAAAGTAAAAGGCACGGGAAATTAACTATTTGAAGGTCAACAAGCACATATAAACCGTGCATATCTACATAGAGAGTTTATAGAATCAGCATACTTTGGAGTTTTCATGTAATTATGCCATCTGTGAGCACCGTTAGGTCGTAGATGATCCTGAACCCGAGCAACTGATTTTCCATTCCCATAAGTCAAAAAGTAGTTTGGATTCCCACGAGTAGATTCTTTGTACATGCCAAAATAGGTATCCTTTGGAAGATGGTCATAGTTCCTTTTGAACATAGATACCTAATCAAATGGATACAATAAATACGTTAGACAAGGATATTGGTACAGGGATACCAGTAATTTTTAAGGAGAGACACCAACTCATGGTATCTGGGAAATTGGGGATAGAAGTCAGGAATGCAGAACATATTTGTAACTGAAATTGAAACAGCCCAACCAATGTTGGGATACACACACAATGAACATATAAATATCAGAACTTAAAGATTGAAAAATGAAACCGCACATTTACATTCGAGATATACACACGCTATCCATATAAATAACACATTCATATATATATATATATATATATATATATATATATATGACAAAGCCAAAAACATGTCTTAGAACATTCCTATTCATATACAAGATACTGGTGAGATTGAGGCACTTGACATTGTGGGATTTACCAGGTTTGTATAGTTTGGTGTGGTTCGGTTTATATATAGTATGTGCATCCTTGGTGGCCAACAAAAGAATAAATAGAATCCTAGAAAGTAAGGAACATATGAAGAGATGACAAACAAAATTACTATCGAATATTTCTTCCCCCATGACCAAACACCCCCAACAACATGCATACATCTCACCTCTAAGTATACCGTTAATTAGCTCTATAGCTCCTACCACCTAATGAGAGTTCCCAGAATGGTGGAATTGTTAGTTTTACGTTCCTATTTGGGGTGCATGGTACTTATGTGTCATTACATTTTCTTATTCAAAGCCCATCCCATACCCTGTGAACTGCAATTTCCTCAATGTTGAGCCCTTACTATACGAATCCCACTTTATAGCCTCTCATGTCTAAAAACTTCATTTGTGAATCATGAGTCCTTATCATTTCTTCATCCATCATCATAACTACTGCACCTCAGCTTATAGAAGGTAAAAACAGCTTGATACAAACTTGCATAATCTAACTTTGGTATCGAAAGGTTAAAATTGCTTATTTATAATATCATGGAGCTTGAGTTTTTACAGATCATTTGTTGACAGTACATCTATCCAATGGCCAATAATATGCTTGCACATTAAACATAACATTGAATGATTGAGGAATATCTTGTTTACCTAACCGATTACACAATAGAAAAGAAAACAAAAATAAAACAATAAAATGAAGTAGTTAAGTCAAAACCAAAATAGTACAAGAAATACCTCTATAAAAGGATCCTTGATGTCATCACGCTCTACACTGCTCTCCTGTACAAAAGAGTGTACTTTAATTCTTCACAAAAGATTCCCAATGTCAGCTGTTAAATTATAAGAGAATAGCATGTTGAAGTATTGTATTTGTCAGGTTGATTTTTTATGAACCATCATATTCTTGGAAATGCAAATTGAACACTAAATTGGCCGAAATAGCGCTGCTAATGATAATCTCAGACTAGAACTTGCCACATACAATACAGCAGTCAGGGTCCATCAGATATGGAATGGATGACTTGCACCTTGTACATAAGCACATGGACTGAATGTAACCCTGCACCAGGCAAACAGCATTGCGCCCACCACATGCATGAAACCCCAATCCCCTTCCAGTCAAGGTCTATTATGTTTACTAAAACTGAAATGGAATCTCTCATGTCTCTTTATTCCTTGGCTTGCATTTTAATTTGGAAAATAGAGAGATTATGTCAGTGTTTTGAAATTAACAAGCTCCGATTTGAGCTTTTATGTGTGTTTTATATATAATATATACGGGGTTTGAGTCAACAGAAATTTTGTGATCATGCAAACGGCTTTAGATTCATGTGTTGGTTCGAGGTAATTTGACACCACAAGCAGTAATAACGACGAATGCTGCCAGTGGTGATGGGGTCCATGTGGACCAACCAAACCACCACTAGAGTGATGGGTTTATACAGAATGTCATAATGGAACCTTCAACGGTTTGAAATGACTTTATTTGAACAGATCAGATCATTTATCATTGGTTTGATTTAGGCCTAACTTCTGCAAATCAAGTCATTAGTGCGACCCATTAGTTGGGGAAGAAGGCTCTCTCTTGGTTTGATAGTTGGAGGGTTTTGATTGCAATACGAGTTGTTTACTAGTGTGGCTTAACCCCATTAAACACACTATTTCTGGCCAACTTCAGCATTTTTATTTTAGGGAGTACAATGGTTCATCACTACATGCTTGACAAGTAGACTGATATGAAGTACATTCACTTGTTAATTTCTAACAAAAAATTGAGCATCGCCCAAGAACAATAACTCATGCAATTACCAGACATCTGAAAATTCCAAACAAGTTATTAGAATCCTGTAAATTCATTGGACGGGTATTACATTATATAACTTACATAGTTCGGAAAGACCACCATATCCACATCCCCAGGAATATCACGAAGTAACTGCCTCAGTGAATATTCCCCAGCACCCGCCGGGTGTATCAATTCATCTGTGTCAAGATGAAGTATCCAGTCCATGCCTGATTTCTAGCGATTCACAACCAAAGGTGTCATGGATAAGCAATAGCACCCGAAATGATGACTTGCCACAAAAGAGGAACATAAGCATACCCTTGCCATGACAATAGCCATCTCCATGTTGAGCGATTGCTTGACAAAAAGCTCATAGTTACATGGTTTATAGAAGAAACTTGAAAGCCACGTCTCATTCCAGATCCGACTTTTGATGCCAAGGGAAATAGAGAAATTATATGTCAAACAAACAGATCAAAACAATCTAAAACTAAAATGTGTTTACATTAAAGTAATCCCTTCTTTCAAACAATTGGGTCCATTCTTTAGCCCATTTGTCCTCACATCATGGATATAAGCATATGATACAGCCTCAAATCGAACAGTTAAGGGCAATCATCAATAAGAAGAAAACACCAACCTGTTAGCTTGTTGTTCTTCTAACTCTTTTGTTCTGTATATAACCTTGACTCCCTGAAAACAAGCACAAAGTTCATTTCACATTTTTACAGTAACTTGAGAAAACAGAAGTACATTTTTAGTATACACTTGAAACCACCAATCTAGTAAAAAAATGTGCTACAAAAACAAACTGTGAATTGAAACTTACAGGAATAGATTCAAGAACTTTTGATACACTAGGAGAGGCAGCTTTTCCTTCAACAAACAGAAAGAAGGTTCCAACTCCCAGTACTTTATGATAGAACATCCATGGCAAAATCTGATCTAATCCGGCCGATGTACTAGTTGTAATACATATCTGAACATATAGAAAATGATGTTAGAAGTTAGAAAAAGTCAGTGTGTGGAATATCCAAAATAAGGTTACAACAGAAAGAGACTAAAATATGATGGAGGGCTGGAAATTTCAGGTGCCACAACATTGGGTCGCTACTGCAAAGGGTTCAAGAAAGTGCCCAAAGTGTATCAGTGCTTATATTGAAAACAAGGTTAAACTGAAATTACAGTTAAATATCACTGCAGGAAGCAGTCCGTGATATGCCAGAACCTATTTTAGAGAGCCAGCAAAGACATGTGCATGTGGCAGGTTTTTATGTAGCTATTGGTGAAATATATCAGCATCCTAGTTTTCAGCTTCCTGATGGAGATGGAGATGGAATGGGTAGATAGATTCATACCATCACAAGAAGAGATTCCGAACACAGGAAGTGTCAAATATTTGGGAAAAAAAAGAGATACTTGCAAAGACACATGAAAAGCAATCATAACCCGTATAGTTTCACTCCAAGCAAATTTCAGAATATGCATTTAAATAGAATGAAGAAATGTTCAAAACTTGTATGGTGAAGTTCTAAAAGGTCGCTGGTTCACCTTCAAATTTTCATAATTTGGGTTTGAACAATTTAGAAGTAAAACCAACTATGTTTCATGGAGAGAATAATTGGACTATGAAGCAGCAGGTCAAGTCGATGAAAATTGTGTACATCATATGGTTTCTTGATTATATTTTTGAAGGGATGGGTGAGATTACATTTTAGAGCAAGGAGCATCCTCAAAGACTTTGGTTGGGAAGTTCTTTATGGGAATATGGTATGAGCCTCCATCCTACACAGCACCTCATGCTTTTCTTTATTACTCTCAAGATTTCTGTGCAGATTCTCTCTAAAATATCTGTCTCAGCTCCATGGATGTTGGTTTAGTGTAGGATATGAAATATGTGTGCAACCAAGGCACCGCTTGGTTAGCGTGATTCCTATGGAATCCGAAGGAATTGAATGGCCAATTCTGTTGAGCAAATTCCATTTAGCTGTTTGGTTTGCACGTGGAATAGTATTGAACTCCATAGATTCCACTGTTCATGGATTCCATCATTCCATAGCAATGTGATAGAATTAGAATCGATTCCTCCTCAATTTTTTTCAAAAAGACTACCACCCAAAAAAACCTAGCCTACTATATACATGACCAACATCACCACCACCCTTCAGTGCCACGGTGCCGCCCCCATCACCACCGACACCACTACTGCCAATTAATATTACCATTAAATAGTATTTATGATTCAAGCAAGAAAGTATGAAAATGTCATAAAGAGGTATTTTGGTCATTTATTATTATTCCATTCCAATTATGCAACTACATCCATCCAAGCGAACATGCATATTACAATTCCTTTGAGAGATTTCATTCCAATACCTTCGAATTCCAATTCCTTTGATGGATTCCAGTTCCAGCAGATTACATTATTTCTTCAAACCAAAAGCCCCCTAAGTGATTTATATCAGCCATACTTTTTACTACTTTTTTAATCATGATTACTTACTTGGTTATTTGAAATAATGGGTAAAATGTCATAAGGCCAACTTTTTCCCCCAAAATTGTTCTTGTCCTAGTCGGTAGAAGATGGTTCACTTGTAGTAAGACTGTTGGAAAACTTGTTCTTTGATGAAGTTGATAGGTTATGTGACCTTACGAATTCAATAGTGTCTAATAGGGATGTCCGGTTGATGAATTATTTTTGGAGAACTCCCTGAAAATGTTTAAAAGTGCATTTAAGTTCATAACTATGTATCATTGATACTCATGGTCAAACCAAAATAGACAATAGAATTCAAGGGAATTTGTTGCATTATTTAGGAGGAAAACATTCCAACACATGGGACCATGTTGCCATGTCTAGCATACTTGTTGACTTAGCTTCCGTTCTCGCCACGCGTATAACTACAGGAACTGCAATTCATTTGTGTCTCATGTACACGATATGCACGTTGAGATATGACAATTAATCCATTTAACTACATCGCAGGTTCCAAAACTCTTTGAAAACAAACAAGTCATGATTCCTACTTGTTAATTGACCTCCTGAAGTACAATCTTCATATTATATATGCAGGGTAATTGTTTAATTCAAAACACTTACCAAACGGTTATATTTCATTCAACGCTAAAAATAATACACAAGGTTAATGGTAATTGTTTGCCATTTCAAACCATCTATAGAACACTTTCCAAACAACTATTTTTCATGATACAGTAAATCATACAGAACCTTTTTAATCACTCTGCATCTCACAAACAGCATCTTAGTGTATCATATAACCAATAGATGCTTATTATTTATATTTTAGGAGCCTATATATAAATCTTTGCAAATGTTCGGATAAAATAGTAATGTTCAACTAAATGTGGCACAGGTAAACAGTAGATGTTTATATAGTGAGACATATCTTCAAAGATTAAATGTCTATTTTAAGCAATATTGTTTCTTGATGTGCATGTGTTCTAAAAATTGTTATCGCAGGGGACCTTAATCGCAACAACTAATGTAAGCATTAAACCACTCACTTTGGTATATGCCTCTCACCCGGCATTCAAGTGCTTCAAACGGCTTAAGTTACTAATGTATTTACAAAGCCCTTTTGTTCAAAACAAAAAGTTGCTTCAATAGCTCACTCTCCGATGACTCCATAATTTGTTGTAGAATTTTTTTTCTCTAAGGACTACCTAATTGAAAATCTGGACTCCTCCCTGTCAACATCACTACAGGCCTCCTTTAGGTCGTTACCTCATAAAAATCTTTAGCTCCACTTGTGGTCGACATAGCTCGATCAAAAATTAAAAAAAAAAACATGTAAGAGGCAATGCTATGATAATCAAGAGGCCTTCATCTTCTGATCTATCCAATTTCAGCATCTGATCCTAATCACCGAGCAAAACATAACCAACTTGAACTCTGGTCGTGCTGACTGCCTAAGATCCCAGACTGACTAGCAATCCCACTTCAATGCAGTCATAAATTTTATTAGAATTTACCGTTTCATAGGATTTATTTTCAAGTGAAAAATGTAAGCTTAGTGTAGAAAATCACATATAGAATAACCAAACCCATATACTTACACAAACAAAATAATCTTCTCTCATTAGCCTAGATTGTATAAATACTAACAATTTGTGGGTTTTAGTGAACTAAATCAAATTCTGACTTGAAGGTTTCATACATATGAAACATATTTTATCTCAAATTCAAGTTCATATGGCTAAGTGTTATAAGGCTAACACCACCAGCTATTCTATTTGTACTACTTGTGTCCAAGTTTTATGTAGTTAAGCATATACTCCTCTCAAATTTTAATGCCAGATCCATTAAGTTGAAGGGTACTCACTAGCCATCAAAATTCAAAAATTAAAGCACCCTCTGTTGGAACGAATGAGGTATATATTCCTACAATAGTAAAGAATGATGGAAGAGCAACGATTATACCTTAGGTTTAAGATCCGTTTCAAATCGGAATTTCCAATCATGGTAGTAAGGAAATGATGGAGAAGAGGATTGTCCGAGAGAGAGGCAATCGGAAGAGGAGGAGTGGCGATCAACAACGGTGGCGAGAGGAGATGAATCCATTCCAGGGAATTTGTGGGAACTGTGTTGAGGTGACCAGTGAGAGATCGGATCGTCTACATCTACAACGCCACCGCCGCGCCATTGGAGGACGAAAGCGAAGGCTGCAAGGGTGATTGGGAGCAGCGTGAGGAGGAGAATTAACTTGGAAGCAAAGGAATGGTGGGTGGAGGAGGCAGTTTGCGGTTGTTTGAGACCTGCCATTGGTGGTTACTACTCCACAGAGAAAGTGACGGAAGATCAGCCCTTGCGAACCCCCCTCTTTCGTCTGCAGACTCTTGTTGAGACTTGAGAGAGAGAAACCGACAAAGGCATCTATTTTGAATTTTTCCCCTTTTCATGTTATATATGTTTTCATTTTTCAATTATTTATGTTTTCTTTTATATTTTCATTTTCCAACCTTTATTTATGGTTTTGTTGAGTGAATATTTTGGTTATAACTTATTTTTTTTTTATAACAGTCTTTAACAACTTATTATAAGTTAAAATTGTTTAACTTCTTCAAAAACACCTTATAACTGGTTTAGCACCGATATAAGTTGTTTATCCATACAATCAAAAGTGTTTATTACTGGTGTTACATCGGAATAAGTCAATAAGTTGTTTTAATAAGCAATCTCAAAACACCCCCTTTGTTATATTCGTCGTCTACTCGTACGATGCAGCAGGATGAAGTTGAAAATAAAAAACTATACAGTTCTAATTAAAAAAGAAAAATGGAAGTTTTCGTTTTTATGAAATAGAAATTAGTTGTAGTTGAATATGTTTTACTAATTTGAAAACAGGGATGTGGCCGCCTTCGCACCGCCATTTTCAGACAAACTTGCGATTTTAATTTTAGTTTTAATGTGTTATTTAGTGTTCATAATATGTCCATGGTTGTTTACATGGTTTTTATGTGTTTAATGGTGGAGGGATGATACGTAGAGTGTAGTGAATTTGAATGTTACAAGCCTTTTAGGTTTGTTTACCAAACCCTCACCTCCAATAAAGCGATCCTCACATATAGTATCGAATAACATTTTCGGTTATCAAAATGAATTGTTGGTAAACAACTATTACTTGGTAAGCATTTACCGAGTATTACCGGGTAAATAAAATCTCGGTTCTTACTAGATAAGATTATTGATGATTGGTATACTCATCCAAAAAATAAATGGCATTCAATAATCGTTTGATAAATAGCTCCTAACTTTTTTTGATTAACCTGGATAACCAACCAGCCATGCGAGTCGATCAATCTCAGGGTAAACACCTGCTTTACAGGTAGCCCTGAATCATCGCATTTAAACCTCCGTGATCACAAGGGGATTTTTGTTCCTCCTTTGTTTTGAACATGTGACCTCCAGACACTTTTGACCTTTGAAGACAAACTCAAATCAATCAGGCACCACCCTTGTGGTTTGAGTTTACCTATTCATGTATGTTATGTTATAGTTAAGAGGAGAGATGGTACTATAAAATCCTCAAATAGTTGTTGATTGTTTTTTATATGTGTTACGAAATAATTAAAATGAATGTAAATAATATATATATAGGGTTTTGTTTAAATACAATTCATTGTATTTATACAACCAATGCAACCCAATATTTTGAGATATTTATGGAAATAATGAGAGTTCATTTATTATGATTTGAATATTTATGGAAGATGAATATGATTCATTAATTATGATCGATACTTTATATTAGAAAACAATAAAAACTTCTATGAAATCACATATTAATCAAATGAAATTAACGGTTGAGATTGGGTTATATTGGTTGCATAAATGTCAAGGGTTATATAATAACCAACCTATATATATATATATATATATATATATATAACCCTAATAAATAAGTAACTTTTGGGACACATGTCATGTTTTCGTGCGACGGTTATTATTTTTTCCGCTTAAATATGTATCTAGACACAATTTTCAATTACGGTTCAAATAGGTCTATTTAAGTGACATGTGTCCCTTTGGACGGTTAATTTCACGTATTCGTGGTAAAACCGCCTTCGTAGAGTAATTGGCGGTTCAGAGTTCCAAAATCTGGAGTTCTTCTTTCCAGATTTAGAGACCCGTCCAACGATTTCGTCTCTAAATTTAGAAGGAGACTTAGAGATCTCTGCATGTACTATGCAGAGGCATTGTGTCTGGAGTGAAGCTCTGCATGTACTATGCCAAGTATTCTGTCTAGAGTGAAGCTCTGCATGTACTATGTCAAGTATTCTGTCTAGAGTGAAGCTTTGCATGTACTATGCAGAGGCTCTATGTCTGGAGTGAAGCTCTGCATGTACTATGCAGAGGCTTTGTGTCTGGAGTGAAGCTCTGCATCAAGCACTTAACCTTTTTAGCGCTTAAGCATTGATCTTCCTTGGAATACAGCACGGGCACTGTATATATATATATATATATATATATATATATATATATATATGAGATACTTAACTCTTGAGTAAAAGCTTTGTCTCTTGATGTCTTCTGCATGAGAACTCTGGGAAAATTCAGAGTTGTAAGTCTGAATTCAACTCTAGAGTGGTCATCAAAACCCTATTTTAAATTTCAAATTCGGATTTTTGAAGCATTTTTCACAAAACAATATTACCCGGAAAAAATCCCAGCCAGGGCCTCTGCCCCTTTGACCCCGCCACTGGGGGCGCTGCCCCCGGACCCCCGTCGTTTAGGGGATTCACCCCTAAATCAAAATTAACTCAAACAAATGTGCATTCCGCACCTTCCTTAATTGTTCGATATTTATCATGATTACATTGTCAACAATTAATCCCGTTAAACTTAAATGACATTAGTGATACAAATCACCAAAATGAAGTCATCAGATATTGATTATTTCTCAGATTTACAACATAACTCTAAATTGTTCTGTTCCAGACTTAGTTCCATAGTTTATTCCCAGACTTAGAATTCGACTCTGAACTCCTCTTCAGAGTTGAAGTTCAGAGTTATGTTTATGAGTTATAAGAAGTTAGAATTTTTGTGACTCAACGTTATGCTCATAGATACTTTCTAGACTTAGAAGATAATTATGAATTCATCTTATTTAAAGTTAAGTCAAAGAGTTATTTTTCAGCCTAACAATAGAACTTTGAATTCTTGTGTTTCAAATTTAATGTTCACAGTTTTCTTTTCAACTTGAGGAATGGTCTTAACTCATTTTCCTCATTTAAAATACCCCGTGTAATACACGGGGATCAAACCTAGTATATATATATATATATATATATAATTTCTTTTTTCATTGACAGTTTTCATATAAAAAAATTTCTAAAAATACATATTTTAATTATTTAATTTAAAGCATCTGTAGGTGGCTTTTTAAGTCCGTCGTCAAATCATAGGGCTCAACTCTGGACAGACAGTGAAAACTTTATTTTTATATAAATAAAAAACAATACTTATATAGATACCGAAAAATTATGCGTTTAATTCATAAGGTAATTTCTATAAACCATTTTATTTTTTATTAATAAAAATCTTCATTTTTTTATTACAAGTCCCAGTAATAACTTTATAAGTTATTTCACTTTTTGTTAATAAAAATCTTGCATTAAAGATACTTATAATCAACGATAATATTAATAATAATAAATGATGACGAATATTTAGTTACATTGATTTAATTATCATCAACATATTTATTGTTAATAATACATTATTAATAGTCAATATATATTTATTATAGTCTGGTTCATGATTTTAATCATATTTTTTAAATGTAAATAAGGTATTAAATGCCATATTAATTTTAAAAGTTTTTTTTAATATTTAATTGGTATTTAAATAAAAATATGTATAAAATAAAATTTCAAAAAAGTTAAATATTGAATATAAATCATATAACAAGTGTTTTATTATATTCATTGTTATACGAATTAAAATCTAGACTCATGTAATTTATGGTTTTATATAGAGAGAGGATAAATCGTATACTAACTATGTAAATGTTATACACCATGTAAACCAATCTCGGCCTATAGTTTTGTGTATTTCGAGAATTTTAAACAGTTTGTAAAGCAGTTGTCGATAAGGTTAAAATAAATTTCGAAGCCGATTTTAATCCACATTGTCGACATTGATTTGATAATTTCTACAAGACGGTTGAAATTGGTTTATATGGTTTATAAGATTTCGATAATTTGTATTTGAAACAACCTCTCTCTCTCTCTCTCTCTCTCTATATATATATATATATATATATA